GACCCCTTGAGATGCACGTTTATATGGCAGGAACACCTTCCAGAACAGTGCACAACATTAGCTTACGCTCCTCTAGATCTGGACTTTTTTAAGCAAGCTTCAACCATCGTCAAAAAAGACGTGGCCTTAGCAAATGCATTGCGCACAATGATGGCTTCTTTGACTGCCTTCTCAAGACTGAGCTCAAAGAGTGCAATTATTCGAAAATCGCGTTTTCATATGTCGACTTTATAGCCACGTAAACTTCCTTACAAAGCGTTTTCTGCAACTTCGGTGAGATCCTCAGAAAAACTAGAAGACTTCCTCTACAATTCCATATATAGCAACCCCTATCAGCCCTCTGGCACTTTCTTAAAACATGGCACCAACATCAAAGGCGCAAAAAGCGAAAAAACTTTCCGAATGACCTAATACTTCCGGGATTTTAACTGATAATCCTCTGTTACTATTTCTGATACAATGACAAAACTTTGGGAGTTTGGAAACCTCGCTTTTGTAGAGTACAAGTCCCTTCTGGCAACGACGACTGCCGAAGCGCGCGCCTTTCGACATACACCCGAATATTCCTTTTGGTTTGCAGGAGTTACTTTCAGCATTCATGCCTTAGCAGCGTAAGGTCTTTACCTCCAGTAAAGATCCGCTTACATCGTCCACATACATATATTGAGAATTGGTGCAAAAATAATGGGCTTTTTCCAGGTTTGTATCAGAACAACTTTTTCCCGTTAAACTCTGTTCTTTGGAAAAAAAACTTAGCATACCACCAAAAGCTCTTTTCATGCTCTGTCTTGAATCGAGCTTCTGGACATATTTGTTAAGAATTTACAAAGCTTCAAACAACCAAACTCAATCCAAAATTCCATTACATTCACATTTTTGATCAGAATACAAGCATAGATGACGGCATTTTTTGAAAATTCAGCCTGTATGCAATCAAAATTTCCTCGTTATGCACATTTTGGTATTTTTTCTGAAAGTATCTAGACTGAGATCTCGGAGCCTTAACATGGGTAGTAGAAGATTTGACCATTTTGTGGCCCATGAACTTCTTTTAAAAAAGGCAAACGCCAAAGATTTGCTCATTTCTGTAAGCGTAAGGGGCTCCTGTTAACAGTTTTTGCAAAATCGTCTAGCTGTTCAGTGCGCACGAAAACAATCTATTGTTTTGAGTGTACACAAATCCTTCTGGGCTTATGTCCTGAATGACAAATATCTTGTCATCTTCTAGATAACGACCAGAAGCAGCAAACCATTTGGTACACACAGCGCACACTGACCTATACTTATATCACAAACCAGCGGAAAATATGGATAAAAAACTATAAAAAAATTCTGAAGCTTTTTCTGACGAATCAAAACCCCTTCATATTGAGTATCTTATCTTGTAGCCGCAAGCCAGTAGTGAAAATGATGATGAAAAGACTGGAACCAAAAAGAATTGCGAGAAGAAAAAATCAATTCAAAATGGTCAGCTTTTCTCAACATTTTTAAGTAGGCTTCAAAGTCCCAAATGATGGAATTTTCCGATTTTCTGCATATTGAACTTTTTAATGTTTTTGCAAGAAATACCAAGACGATGCCCTATCCTAAGTGCCGGTATCTTGTCTAGAGTAAAAAAATATTTCAATGTGCTTAATGCAAGCAATTTCTGCTACTTATTGCGGATTTGCGCTAGCTAGAAGTCCGTTTTGACCTCGCTAGATTAAGCATGAAAAGAGCCTTTCAATGATATGCTGAATCTGTCTCAAAAAAGAAAGTAGTGATATGAGAAAGTTGCTCTGAAAAGTGCTTGAGCTTCGCACGGGTATTAGCAATCTTTTTACTTGAGTGACGTTTTGGTTATGAACCCTTCCTCAGTGTCTAAAGCCGCGGGCATACCTCACGCGATTTCAGTCGCCACGCGACATGGCGGTTTGCCAGATTTCTTCAAATTCAATACTGGCAGAAACCAGATGCGCAGCATGTATAACTTTTGTAGATTGATAAAAGTCCCTATTCTTCCCAACATTCAGAAACTCCTTACGATGAGTTATTAATAATTAGAGTATTGCCACATCCCTTCGTGTCTGAAATTAGGTGAGTTATGCCGAGGACCTAAATCAGCTGGTAATTGCGTGGAAGGCCCATCCCGGTGTAAAGTTTGGAAAAAGGATTGGAAAACGCTCATTGATATGTTTTCAATTTTTTTCTGCCTTAATGTAACAAGATTATGCATAGGTAAACGCTCCTCCTCTTCTCATTCTCACGAACATTGGGATCGTGGTGAATATGATCGCGACTACGGTGGCGAATATGACTGTGGTTACGGCGGTGGCGGATGGGGTGGACCTTGCGGATACTATGGTAATCAAGGATTTGGTGGTGGATTATTTCAGCAGCCTTTGTTCTTTAGGAATTTACATTCTTTGCAAGTTTCCCTTACTTAACGATTTGTACTTCAGGCTGGGGAAAGTAAACACGACGTGCTCGTTTGCTAATGTACATTTTTGTATAAAATTGAGTTTTGTATGAAACGATAAATAAATATCTATTGCCTTTGTAAATGATACTGTTATAAATTACGCTATCTTTTGGTCTGAGGTGTCAAGCTTCTAAGAATTAATTGATTATGACCAGCAAGCAACATACTTGAAGAATTCTACGGAGTGTCTGCAGAGTTGGCGCTTCGTCAAAGTCTTCAAAGTCTAACAAGGGAGAGTCAGAAAGTTGAGGAAACCGATCACCACAAAATGCACACTTTCTGTGAGAGCTTGTGTGGAAGAAGTTAGAGCATTTTTTAATGCACTAATACTTCGATAAAATTAATCAATTCAGCCTTCCTAGCCGTTAAATGGAAAAGTAGGAGGTAAAAAGCTAGGCACAAGGAGTTTATTGCATGAAGCATCCTGGCACTTGCCGCTACTTCCGTTAACATGAGAAATCAGCAAATGCGATGAAATACTGAAGTCTTTCAACACAAAAAAAGGAACATACCGAACTATCCAAGATTTCTCTCCCGGTTTTCCATGCACATCGGGAGTGTGAGCTCTAGAGGGTCGTCAGCATCGAAGTACGTTATGAAAGCTTTGCAAAATACATCGAAGCTTTCTTTAAAATGCTGCTCAAAGACAGCTCCTTCCAGAATTCGCCCCCCCCCCCATGTTTTTTCTATTCTGGGGCGTCTCCCTGCCCTTGATTGCATATATTGAATCGAATTGTCAAAATTCCCAAAAACCCGATTCCTGGGGACCCTGTCTGGAGAGCGCGGATGGCTTTCAGTACGTAGATGGGCGGAATATGATAGGATGGGGACGGGCTTGATAGCACTTTCGGTGTTCCAGGCCCATTACCTCCATTCATAGACAACATTAGAAAATGGAACGCAGATGGTTCTCTCCTGGGTCCTACATTCAGGAACAGCACTAATCGGAGGGATAGATTTAGCCTGGACAATGCCTTACGCATCTTGCAGGAGTGCTGGTTGTTATTTAAAATGAACTTCTTCTAGATTTCGGTCATATTGGATTGCCTTGATTATCTAAAACTCTTTGAAAACTGTTTTTCAAGAATCTCGGTTTTTGAGCACATGTAGTGCGGGATGTACCGAAAATTGCGAAAAGTGGATTTTATGGATAAATCAAGCATGACTATTTTGTATAATGTAATATTTATCACTGCCACGCTCCATTTCTTTGCTAATTTTTGATGTTTTCGGTACAGTCGTACATTTGAAAAGAAGGTTCTGTAAAAATCCAAAGAGCTGATCAAAAAGACCTCAAAATTTTTTGTAGCTTGAGGTTGGCTGTATCTGCATAGTGCCTTTTTGGATTTGGTGTAAAAACCTCAAAGTATAACAATGAACAGAGGAAATGATGGATGAAGAATTTTGGCAGTTACGAGAGAGCATTCAAAAAAGTTAATATTACCTTTACAAAAGAAGTTTATTTTTGAGGTTTCGCACACATGTTTGATCTCTTTTTGACCATTATTAAAAATCCAAACAGCAGATCAAAAACATTTCAAAGCAGTTTTTTGTAGCTCGAGAGAGAAAATGTGTTCGCTTTTTTCGTTGTATTTTTCTGAACTTTTCCTTAGAAAGGATAGTTTCAGCAAAATCTCGATTTTTTTGCTGAAAGTAACCTTTTCGAGTTGTTCTAAAAACCTTTTTCAGATGTTATTGTTCGTATTCGCTATTCCACCACTATCTTTTGCCCTGGACTGTCATGAGCCCAAAGAGGTTGGAGATTGAGACCAACAATCACAACGGATGTTTTACTATGATACAAGATAGAGCAAGCGGAGATTTTTTAGTTTATTAACATCAGATCTGGCTTTGAAAAAAAAGAGAATTTCTCTATGCATTAAAATGGCAGGATTTTTGAAATTTCAGCGGATTGGAATTAATCTTATTTTATAAGTTGCTTTGAAACCTTTGTAAATCTGTGAGAATTCGGTTTTTGAAATCTTAGATGAGGTAAAAGTACTTTTATTCTCTAGGTTGCCGTAAAATCCTTTTCAAATTTTCGGATTCCTTGCGAATTCAACAGTCCAAGAACATTTTAAAAAAAGGAGAGCCACTTAGAATTAAGAAAATGAAAACGTAGAAACATCTCGAAAAAATTTTGAAACCGGCAGGGTTTCCGTTTGACAACAATTCTACATTGTCGTAGTAACAATTTAGTGAGCTTGCGGTGACGACAACATTTGCTCGAAAACAAGCTCCAGAACGCGTGCGCGTAAAAGCTCCCAGTAAAGCTTACGCGCAGATGTTGTCGGCAATGCAAGAACACCATTTGATCGTCAATTTTACTAAACTACAAGTGTTTTAGTACAGACTTTACCAGCTTGTCCTTATCGACTTATCATTATCATTAACTTTTGTTATTTTTCAAAAGTCTGCCAACCCTTCCAATATCGTGGATGTGGTGGAAATTCGAATCGCTGCACCACAACTACAGAATGTCGAGAAAAATGCGCGGACGGTGGTAAAGCTAATGCTCCATTTGCTTTGGCAGGAAGCGATGCTGTATTCGAGATTCTGTATTCTGCCGAGAGGAGATTTCCATGATCAGTGGATCAAAGGTAACTAACTTTTGGAAAGTTAGCCTGAAAAATGATTCACTGAAAGATTTCCGCCCGACCATGTATGGTGGAGTGTATGGAGATGCTTATAACCCAATCTGTGAGACTGCACAAATGGCGCGAAAGCTCACAACGCTCTGATATGTAGTAAACCTAGTGAAATGCAGATGGAACTTCTGTTGAAAAGATTACCTGATTAATCACCCTGCTCTTACTCATTTAATTTCGAAAAATGGGGAATAATTCAATAGTTTTTCTAAGAATTTTTCAACTTGTAAGCCTATAAGTCGTGAAATACCGCACTTTTCTGTGCAGTAACAGGTTTAGATACAAATCACTCGAATGTATCTTCTCGAAAATCTCTTATTCAGCTGAGAAATGCGGCTCAAACTTCCTTAATCTGAATGCAAAATATGTGTTACCAAGTCCGAATTGCCCTCCAAATCATGATTTGACGAATGGAGTGTGTTGTCCGACGAGAGGTGAGTTTGGCATTTCTGGCGAATTTCCATAAGTACACAATTACCGTAATCTCCAGATTATGTCTGCTCCCAACGGGACGATTCTGGAACATTTGCCGAGGGTATAGAGGATAGGCCTCGGTAAGTACCCTAGATGAGAAAATCGACCCAGTCATCAATGTGAATCTCTTCCAGATTTGCTTGGAACCATGGAGTGAAATCTTGTGAACGCTTCAGCTATTTCGGCGCAAACGGCAACTATAACAATTTTCCTAGCTTCTACAGCTGTCTCAACTACTGCAAAGACTCTAAAAAAGTGAATTAGATAATTTGTAAATTAGGAAATGATAGTTTATTTATCAAACAGTTCAGTAGTACAATCTGTATTGCATTTGTTGTTCAGGTTGAGAATTTTATGAGGAATTATGAGAGCAGTGTTTTCATGCATTTCTGATTTCATGAAAAAACTTTTCACAGCTTTCTGAGCTTTTTAAGTGGACGAATCACATCTTGAGAAGCAGAAAAAGCCGATTTTTCGACTGCGGAGCAGACCGAGTGGTTTTCAAATTGCTATAAAAGGCTGAAAAGAGAACATTATGAAACTGTTTCTTCTCCGTATGTAATCTTTTACAGTGTAGATACATTTTATGTAAAAAAGTATGAAAACTTATGTGAGCAAAGTGTCGGTGCCAGCTCAGCTGGCACCCACCCTGGTTTGAGCCGCATTTCTCAGCTGAATAAGAGATTTTCGAGTAGATACATTCGAGTGATTTGTAACTAAATCTGTTACTGCACAGAAAGTGCGGTATTTTACGACTTATAGGCTTACAAGTTGAAAAATCTTTAGAAAAACTATTGAATTATTCCCCATTTTTTGAAATTAAATGAGTAAGAGCAGGGTGAGTAATCAGGTAATCTTTTCAACAGAAGTTCTATCTGCATTTCACTAGGTTTACTACATATCAGAGCACGTCGTAGCTTTCGCGCTATGTGTGCAGTCTCACAGATTGGGTTATAAGCATCTCCATACACTCCACCATACATAGCCGGCGGAAATTTTTCATTGAATCATTTTTCAGGCTAACTTTCCAGAGATTAGTTACCTTTCATCCACTGATCATGGGAATTTTCTCTCGGTAGAATACAGAATCTCGAATACAGCATCGCTTCCTGCCAAAGCAAATGGAGCATTAGCTTTACCACCATCCGCGCATTTTTCTCGACATTCTGTGGCTGTGGCGAAGCGATTCGAATTTCCACCACATCCACGCCATTGGAAGGGTTGGCAGACTTTTAAAAATAACAAAAATAAATGATAATGAAAAGTCGATGAGGACAAGCTGTAACGTTTGTACTAAAACACTTGTAGCCTAGTAAAATTGACGATCAAATGGTTTTCTTGCATTACCGACAACATCTGCGCATAAGCTTTACTGGGAGCTTTTACGCACACGCGTTCTGGAGCTTGTTTTCGAGCAAATGTTGTCGCCACCGCAAGCTCACTAAATTGTTACTAAGACAATGTAGAATCGTTGTCAAACGGAAACCCTGCCGGTTTCAAAAGTTTTCAAAGGTTTTTGGTGGTTCACAGGTTCAAAGGTTTTTTCAAAAGGTTCAAAGGTTTCAAAGGTTTATTGAGAAGTTTCTACGTTTTCATTTTTTCTACGTTTTCATTTTCTTAATTCCAAGTGACTCTCCTTTTTTTAAATGTTCTTGGACTGTTGAATTTGCAAGGAATCCGAAAATTTGAAAAGGATTTTACGGCAACCTACAGAATAAGGGTACTTTTACCTCATCTAAGATTTCAAAAACCGAGTTTTCACAGATTTACAAAGGTTTCAAAGCAACTTATATAATAAGATTAATTCCACTCCGCTGAACTCCAAAAAACCTGCCATTTTAATGCATAGAAAAATTTTCTCTTTTTTTGAATCCAGATGCGATGTTAATAAATCAAAAAAATCTTCGCTTAATGTATCTTGTATCATAGTAAAACATCCGTTGTGATAGTTGGTCACAATCTTCTTCAACCTCTTTGGGCTCATGACACTCCAGGGCAAAAGATAGTGTTGGAATAGCGAATACAAAATAACATCTAAAAAAGGTTTTTAGAACAACTCGAAAAGGTTACTTTCAGCAAAAAAAATCGAGATTTTGCTGAAACTATCCTTTCTAAGGAAAAGCTCTTTTGATCTGCTGTTTGGATTTTCAATAATGATCAAAAAGAGATCAAACACATGTGTACGAAACCTCAAAAAAAACTTCTTCTGTAAAGGTAATATTAACAACTTTTTGAATGCTCTCTTATAACTGCCAAAATTCTTCATCCATCATTTCTCTCTGTTCGTTGTTATACTTTGAGGTTTTTACACCAAATCCAAAGAGACAATGCAGATACAGCCAACCTCGAGCTACAAAAAATTTTGAGGTCTTTTTGATCAGCTCTTTGGATTTTGACAGAACCTTCTTTTCAAATGTACGACTGTACCGAAAACATCAAAAATTAGTAAAGAAATGGAGCGTGACAGTGATAAATATTACATTATACAAAATAGTCATGCTTGATTTATCCATAAAATCCACTTTTTGCAATTTTCGGTACATCCCATACTACATGTGCTCAAAAAGCCGAGATTCTTGAAAAATAGTTTTCAAAGAGTTTTAGATAATCAAGGCAATCCAATATGACCGAAATCTAGAAGAAGTTCATTTTAAATAACAACCAGCACTCCTGCAAAATGCGTAGGGCATTGTCCAGGCTAAATCTATCCCTCCGATTAGTGCTGTTCCTGAATGTAGGACCCAGGAGAGAACCATCTGCGTTCCATTTTCTAATGTTGTCTATGAATGGAGGTAATGGGCCTGGAACACCGAAAGTGCTATCAAGCCCGTCCCCATCCTATCATATTCCGCCCATCTACGTACTGAAAGCCATCCGCGCTCTCCAGACAGGGTCCCCAGGAATCGGGTTTTTGGGAATTTTGACAATTCGATTCAATATATGCAATCAAGGGCAGGGAGACGCCCCAGAATAGAAAAAACATGGGGGAGGGCGAATTCTGGAAGGAGCTGTCTTTGAGCAGCATTCTAAAGAAAGCTTCGATGTATTCTGCAAAGCTTTCATAACGTACTTCGATGCTGACAACCCTCTAGAGCTCACATTCCTGATGTGCATGGAAAACCGGGAGAGAAATCTTGGATAGTTCAGTATGTTTTTTTTGTGTTGAAAGACTTCATTACTTCATCGCATTCGCTGATTTCTCATGTTAACAGAAGTAGCGGCAAGTGCCAGGATGCTTCTGCAATAAACTCCTTGTGCCTAGCTTACTACCTCCTACTTTTCCATTTAACGTCTAAGAAGGCTATGATTAATTTTATCGAAATATTAGTGCATTTTTCCCCTCAAAAAATGCTCTAACTTCTTCCACAAAACAAGCTCTCACAGACAGTGTGCATTTTGTGGTGATCGGTTTCCTCAACTTTCTGACTCTTCCTTGTTAGAGTTTGAAGATTTTGACGAAGCATCAACTCTGCAGACACTCCGTAGAATTCTTCAAGTATTTTGCTTGTTGGTCATAATCAATTAATTCTTAGAAGTTTGACACCTCAGACCAAAGATAGCGTAATTTATAACAGTATCATTAACAAAGGCAATAGATATTTATTTATCGTTTCATACAAAACTTGTCAATTTCATACAAAAATGTACATTAGCTGACGAGCACGTCGTGTTTACTTTCCCCAACCTGAAGTACAAATCGTTAAGTAAGGGAAACTTGCAAAGGATGCAAATACCTACCGAATCCCAAAGGCTGTTGAAATAGTCCACCACCAAATCCTTGATTACCATAGTATCCGCCAGGTCCACCCCATCCGCCACCGCCGTAACCACGGTCATATTCGCCACCGTAGTCGCGATCATATTCACCACGATCCCAATGTTCGTGAGAATGAGAAGAGGAGGAGCGTTTACCTATGCATAATCTTGTTACATTAAGGCAGAAAAAAATTGAAAACATATCAATGAGCGTTTTCCAATCCTTTTTCCAAACTTTACACCGGGATGGGCCTTCCACGCAATTACCAGCTGATTTAGGTCCTCGGCATAACTCACCTAATTTCAGACACGAAGGGATGTGGCAATACTCTAATTATTAATAACTCATCGTAAGGAGTTTCTGAATGTTGGGAAGAATAGAGACTTTTATCAATCTATAAAAGTTATACATACTGCGCATGTGGTTTCTGCCAGTATTGAATCTGAAGAAATCTGGCAAACTGCCATGTCGCGTGGCGACTGAAATCGCGTGAGGTATGCCCACGGCTTTAGACACTGAAAGGGTGTATAGCCAAAACGTCACTCAAGTAAAAAGATTGCTAATACCCGTGCGAAGCTCAAGCACTTTTCAGAGCAACTTTCTCCTATCAAAACTATCTTTTCTGAAAGCGAGCTCAAAACGGACTTCTAGCTAGCGCAAATGATAACGCTCTTCAAAAATTCCGCTATCCGCAGCAGAAATTGCTTGCATTAAGCACATTGAAATATTTTTTTACTCTAGACAAGATACCGGCACTTAGGATAGGGCATCGTCTTGGTATTTCTTGCAAAAACATTAAAAAGTTCAATATGCAGAAAATCGGAAAATTCCATCATTTGGGACTTTGAAGCCTACTTAAAAATGTTGAGAAAAGCTGACCATTTTGAATTAATTTTTTCTTCTCGCAATTCTTTTTGGTTTCAGTCTTTTCATCATCATTTTCACTACTGGCTTGCGGCTACAAGATAAGATACTCAATATGAAGGGGTTTTGATTCGTCAGAAAAAGCTTCAGAATTTTTTTATAGTTTTTTATCCATATTTTCCGCTGGTTTGTGATATAAGTATAGGTCAGTATGCGCTGTGTAGCAAATGGTTTGCTGCTTCTGGTTGTTTTTACCGCATTCGAAAATGTGGCTTCTTTAGTAAGTCTTAGGTCAAAATGAGAATTCCCAAAAAGCTCATAATCTTTGCGCTCGATATATCGGCTTGTTTCAAACACTTGGTCAATTCTACGAAGATTTGGGAAGTTTTTTAGTAAAAAGGAAGTCGCTTCTTTATCGTGACTCAAAGAGTTTAAAGTAAGAATGGAGCGCATAAGCAAAAAACCTACTTCTGTGGCTTCGTGCTAGCTGAAGTATAAACAGCCGCCAAAAGTAGGAAGATGACGAAGAATTTCATGTTAATTTATTTGATCTGAAAGCTTTAGAAATGAGCTGAAGAGGCAGAAAATGGAGTTACAAAAATGGATAATGACCGCTACTAAATGGTAGGGAACTACTCTAATA